AAAGCAAAACATCAATACAAAACATCATGTGCAAATGCTATCCGAGATGCGTCATCTGCCAGGAAAGGATCCTGTGTGGCGCTAAGTGTGCACCTCCGAATGGAAATGCCTGGGCGTGAAGGATTGATTAGGTTCAATGTGGTGGTGGAGGTTCGAGGATGCAACAAACGAAAGAACTCATGCACAACTGTGCTTGACGGCTACCAATTGCATCGAGAACCATTCCCTCTCAAGCCTCCTTGAAGTTACCACACTCAACAACCTGAATCTGAATGCACATACGCGCCCTCGCACCCACGCCACCCACGCCACCCGCATCGCCTATGCACGTGTGCACACGCACACTGGAAAGGCTTAAAGTGCGGCTCCATTGTCACTGGGCATTTAGAGTTTAGACTCTGACTACCGCATGCGCCAGGCAGGCCTGAGACTTAACAAAGGCGTTCCTCGTCCCAGCATGTATAAGGCTCCCACTGAGCAGTTCTTTGTATACTCCCTGAAACCTGGGCGTCATGTCATAGGTGTTGCGAACTTGACGCAGTGTTGCCAGAGATCGACAGAGTGATTCTCACGAACCTTGAAGACACATGGCTGTTTTTTCTGCATGGCAGCACTGAATTGGTTTCTTTTGGTGCCAGGCTGGTCGATCTTGACGTCGTTCTCAGGATGCCTGACAGGTCGGGTTTCCCTGGAGAACCACATGTGAGAGGGCTGCCCAGCTTCGCCCCACGCAACTAAACCCAGCAACAACTCCTCGGACTACCGAACCCCCAACCACAGTCTCCAGATCGATTAAACCGACTTTTGCACTAAACTCTGCGACGTGTTTGCGGGACTTGTACTTTCCCACTCTTATAGCGATGGCCACAACTGGCTTCGTGTCCTCAAGCCGTATGATCGATCCATGAGCAACAGGAGCTGTCAGGGTGCTAAAACCTTGGCCATAATGATCTCTCCACCTCCCTTGGGGCTCTTGCCGGCAGACTTCGTTGGCCAGCCGATGCCAGAACTCCAGGGGGATCGAACAAATCTCCTGCAGGTTGTTAGAGTGGGGTTGAGGGCCAGGATAAAAGAGAGAGACGATAGAGGAAAATGGATTTTAGAGCTGACTTCTTTTGCACGGAGGCACAAGTGCACAAGAGCCAACACGATCACTGTCAGCCACATGCGGACCAGGCGAACCAGGCGAACCCCAACTCTCTGAGCCCAGAGGCAAACCCAAGTAAACCCCCCCCAAGAGTGAGACTGATGAAATCTCTGACTCCTGCGAGGGCAGGTCGGTACAGCGCAAGATCACCTGCGGGCTCTCCAAACAGAACACTTCGGCACACTTCTGGATTTTTGCATGTGCTGACCTTGCATTGCCAATGCTCTCTGTATATTTCCATATGCCGATTTGCGTCCGGGGCTTATTGTTGAAATGTGAGAAAAACGGCGAACCCTCAAAGCTCTGCTCTGGTCAAAAGTTCTACATAAACCTCCTAAAAAGCAAATGAAGTCTAGTTTCCGATCCCCCGCCTCTATCTAGCTCTCACGCAGCGTGATTGTCTTACATCGCCTAGTACTGTTTACTGTGTGTTTGGCTTCTCATTGTTCGTTGGTATGGCCGTCTTCTCAGGGCCCAATTCCAGTCGGTGCAGATGGACACGGCACATTGTAGAACCCAGTCATGCTTTTCGGGCCTGGAGGATGAACACCACCTCTTGCTCGGAACCTCAAGGGTTCGGGTTGAGGGGCTTCTCTGCTTTGGGAGTTCCGAAGTTCTCTTTGCTTTGCATGAATGCCGCCATGTCAATCAAGAGCGGGCTTACCGATAAACTAGTCGGACTAACCTACATGCCGGGATTGAACGCAAGTAAGAGGTTGAAGCACTTAGGCTTATTGCTACCTTCGGGGCTTAGTTGCAGGGGGCTTTGGGCTGGCGCTGAAGGCTTAGAGGCGGTGTTCGTGCCTACTTTGCGGCAAGCATTTACACAATCACCCTGAAGCTGGACGAGAAGCAGTAGGAACACACAAGCATACACTAGGCAACACTAGCCAACACACGAATTTCCCGGGTTTGGATTGGCACAGACCGGTTACAGACACCAGCATCCCAGGCCGCGGCTCTGCTGCATGATGATGGGCACTAAGCACTCACCTGTCTCCACCTCCCGCAGCTTTGAGGATCCTTTTATCACGCCGAAGTCTCCAGGGAGCATAGGACCTAAGGGACCTAAGGGACCTAAGGGACCTAAGGGCTGAAGAAGCACCTGGCGAGCAGAAGGTGCGGCAAATCTGATACAACCCCATTGCCGTAAACCTCAGCATTCAAACAGATGCCAGAACGGACCAAACTACACCTGCTCTCCATTCACACCCCTTGGTTGGAACGAGTTGGCAGGGAGCATTTGTTTGCTTTCTTTGGTCTGGATTTCTTTGTGAAGAGGTCTACAGACATGCTTGGGGTACTTCCTGTTTCACAACGTTTTCGGGTTGAGCACTCAAACTGCAATGACATGACACTCACCCCAACATGCACAACATAGCTCCGAGTCAGGCGCATGCGAACGCCACTGAACCGAAAAACATGCCGACGTCGGCATGTTGCAGGCTGGAAATCCCGAAAAGCCTGACACTAGATCCTCAAGGGATACTCTGGACCCAAGGCCTGCACAGAGTGCCGAAGTCCAACTGCGCTTGAAAGCCCCCGAAACGCCTAAAAACACAGAACCACGGCGGCTTTCTCTCGGTCCCCGGGCATAGATGCGACATATTTGCAGTAGCCCATCCTGGGCATGAAAGCGACCCAGAACTCATTTCCCACGGACAGCTTCGGGAGTACAGAGTTCAAGGTTCAGACTTGTCCATCAAACAACTGAATGAAGCGAGTGTTAAAATCAGAACATAAACACACTGCAAGAAGCCGACCTAACTACCATCTGCCCAGAAGCAACCTGCAAGAAACACATTTGCACACAAAGCGACACGGGATTTACCATAAACCCGGAATGAAACCCTCCTATTCAGATGTTCCCCCTTATACGAACAGTCCTTAAAAGGGAATTTAGTACCCCCTACCATAGCGGCTGCTATAAGGGGGCACATCCCAACCCTCCTACTCAACCAAGGGCCTGGTCTGCATCCAGCGCCGCTTCGGTACCGCGGTTGAGTAAAGCTTCGAACTTGGTCCTGTCGAGTGGGCTGAAGGTCTTCGTGTTTAGAGTGGATCTCTTTGGCGGCTGGTCTCGTGTCCCAGTCCTGATTTCAAACAACTAACGAGAAAAACATGCCCGTTCGATCTGGGGAGGAGGGGGGTACGAGCCGTAGTCCCAGCTAAACTTGACAAAATTGTTCACGAACAGAGTACTAAACAACTCCGTGTTCACTAGCAGATCCCGTAGCATGCATGGTGGCAACTGGGAAGAAATCACAGCATGGATAATGGGAAGACGTTCGTGAACACCGAGCTTGACGCATCGTTAGCCCGTTCTTAAATAGCTGATCATGTCCAATATGCTGGGGCTTGGGCATGTACGGAAAGTCAACAGTTGTTTAAGGGGTTCTTAAGTGGCCTGCCAATCGAGCTGTGTCACCAGGGTGGCTCTCTCCACATCCCCCACACGCTCTGTCTGAACATACCTGGCCCCGCGTCAAAACAACACAGAAACCATCGGGCGCCTCAGCCCGCCAAGCTGACTGAGGATGACCTCGCTCCAGGTAGGGGGTGTAAGTTAGAGCAGGGTTCGACCCAAGGGGTTCGCTTGTTCCGGAGTGCCGGCAATTCACGCCTGCTGCGTAGATGGACTTGGCTGCAAGGCAGGCTAGGCCAAACCCCTAAACTCAGCTTGCAGACGGCAATCTTGCTCTCATTCTCAGCAAGGCGAACACGTAAACAGCTTCCAAGAGCACAAGCATCAGTTGCCTGGATCACTGGCTGGTACACCGAAAAATCTTGGCTGCACATTCGCAGTACCTGGTGCAAGCCGGCTCTCCTCTTGTGTGCCAGCATAGACCCGAACAGCGAGAAACAAAAAACAACACACCTCCAAGATACTCCAACAGCACCTTGCGTACCACGATTCTACACGACCTTCGACCTACCGGAGCGAGCCATCGAAGCTCCACCACTTGTACTTCTGACGGAATATTGTGCAACAGCTGTGCAACATAGAGAGTATGTGTGTCTGTGTGCGCGGCGCATCTGTGCGTTCGTTCGTGCACTGTTGATTGGGACAAGCCTTGCAGGCCCAAAAACTCAGACATGCCGCCTCAGTGAGGGCCTGGTTGGTTCTCCTCGATCCCCCCGATACAAGAGGTCCCCTAACATTCCCTAACCATCTCTAACCCACATCCTCAATGAGTCCTCAATTCTTTGGGGCTCAAGGACTCAGGATTTAGGGCAAGAGAACGATAGAACCTGAAAAAGAAGCCTGCGAAGGTCATCTAGGAACCCTCAAAAGAGCGCTAGTGTGAGACCTCGATAATAATGTCCGTGGCCGTCTCACTGAGCTCGCCGCCCTCGACCTGGGTCTAGGATGCTTTGGGCTCTTCACATAGCTCTTTGACGAAGCACCGACACATAACTTCCGGTCCTACATCCTCAGGCTTGGGGGGCCAAATCCAAACCTTCAGGCTTAAACCGAGAACCCTCACCCACCAGCACGCACCAATTTTGTACTCTGTTCACAGGACCGAGGGCAAAACGACATACTTGAAACATTCTGGAATGAACGGGTTCTGCGCGATCTCGTTGGCCTGCGGGTTCGGGGTTTTGTTGCGTCTAAGACATGGAGGAACGAGTAGCACTCCGCACAGCCATCCCTGTCTTTTGAGTCTCTCAAAGGAGCTAAAACTCCAAAATGAACAGTTTGCAACTCATGGCCCTACGCTAAAAAAAATGTCTCGACTCCACTTCAGCACAGAGAAGCCACATCGCACCGCCGACCTGCAAGTTCGTATACTTGATCCAACTGAGAAAGCACCTCAGAGCACGGGTACTGGATCCGGGTGCAAAGCTTCTAGGAGATCCAGGGCTTAGGGTTGATAGGGTCGAGGGCGGAGGCATTTAGTTCAGCAGGGTATGGGCTTGGACGCTGCACCAGCAACGGAAGATGCAAAGTGTCGAGTTCCAGCACAAGTTTGGCAGGACTGCTCTCAAGAGGCTGTGGCTCCAGAACTTTGCGCTTGGCTTGCACCTTAGACTGCGAAGGAGCGGTGAAGCACTCGTGACAAGAAGCTGCTGGTGCAGGCCTTGGAGTTGGCAATGTACGCTTTTCTTCGAGTTGCGGGGACATTCTCAGGTTTAGATTGCAGATGCTGAGCATCCCACGTCTGAACACTGCAGTTTCAAGAGAAATTGCACGACCTGAGCACCAGCAGCGGCATTGCTCCAGGTGCGAAGAGTCCAAACTTGTGAGAAGCCTACTGGTAAGCCCAGCCTGCGCCGTCGCTGCTTGGAGTCTTTGACTGCAGCTTTCACGCTTGAAGCTGTCTGTCATCAGCTTGTAGTTGTTGTTTTCCTGAGTCATCATAACAAGTAAGTAGGGCTTAACCCACCCATCTTTTCGGGCCTAGCACATCTTGGAATTTGGTTTTGCAATTGGGGCTTGAAAATGCTTGAAGGCTGTCGAGGTCTTTCGGCTTGGGATTCCGATCGCTCCAAAGTATCAAGGTATGACATACAAAGCCTGCCTCTGGAAGCATCTTCATCACCTGGCTGGCAACAAGCACAAGCTCGCAGCTCGGACTCCACGTCCCTCATGACAAAACCCGAATCTGTATACCCTGATCTCCCTGATCCCCCTGCAACAGGGACGAGTGTAGAGAAACACGTTTAGCTTCAATGTATCTTGCGTGGATGTTCCAAGGCTTTCAGAAAATTGACCATTTCTGGGCAACCCAAGTCCATAGCCATCCGGTTCACGCGCACACACACACACACACACACACTGTCTGTCTCTGTCTCTCTCTCTCTCTCTCTCTCTCTCTCTTTCAGGTTTTTAGGCAGGGTTGTTGACGGTTCAGCTGTCAAAGCTTGAAAGCCCTGATGCGCTCGGCCTCCAACAAAGTGAACCAGCTCTGTGGAGTCTGGCCGAAGCGCTGGAACAACGTCTCGATCGGGTTGGGCCTGAGCTCTTGAGACAGCCTTTCACAGCCTTGAGGCGACGCGTTGGGGTTTGGTACAGTCTTGGGGGGTCTATAAGGGTATACGGGTATCAGGGTATAAAGGTATAAGGGTATAAGGGTATAAGGGTGTAAGGGTGTAAGGGTGTAAGGGTGTAAGGGACCCTGTGCAAGAGTTGCTGGCATGTAAGGCCTGTGCCAAGCATTATCCATTTGGATAGCCAAGTCCGCCAATGCCTCGGCAGAAGCCCAGAAGAAGACCGGAAAGAGCAGGTCGGGAGAACGAAAGCGATAGGAGCCGGAAAGCTAACCAAAGAAAGTGCAAGAAAACTGCCCAAGAGGGGGGACATCCCCTGCGCGCGCTTTTACCCAGAGCATGAACAACACGAATCTTTAAAGCTCCTTCGATGTCAAAATGCAAGTGTAGCTTGGAACGTGCCTCCGCCTTCGCCCCCCCAACAAAGTTCATGTCAGAAAACAGCTATTTCTTGCTAGGGAACTCTAGAACTCTAACGGCTAACAACCGGAAACAGGATGGAGGAGGGGCCCAAGGACTATGTGAGTGCGAAGCTTCTCAAGGATGGAAGGTCGATTGGTTGCATGAGCCCGGCACAATGGCCAGCTGCGTGTGAATGGGCTGGTGCTCTGCGGCTCGAAACCTGCAGCAGCATTTGAAGCATTAGGTATCATAAGGGCGGTTCCTGCCTGATTTGCCTTTGGCATGTCTCGAGAATGCACTGTCACACCGTCCATGGCATGGGAAATGCCCATGCAGGCCGACCTGACCTCACATGCTGCCCTTCAAAATCCAAATTTGATCGAACCCAACCGCCTGTCGATGTGGTTCAACATCGAATCCCGGAGGGCGCCGTAGCTCTCCACTGGGAGCTCGTAAAAGTCGAACTGGACTTTTGTTCGCATTGTCTGCGCCTCGGCATCATTTGCTAGACGAGAAAGTTGGGACTTCGAACACACCAAAAGCTGTTGGTCTGGAACCTGCTGGAACCTTGCACACCCCCTGCTTCGAACGCACAAACTAGCTGGGGCAAATAGCTGGGGCTGGCACACCGAAAAAACGGTACTCCATCAGTGGAACATCAGCTGCGCTTAAAAGCTTGTCTGATACCTGAGCACACATGCGAAATCACAAAGGACTTGTCAGAAGTCGCACCTTTTTGTATAATGTCGTGGCCCCTTTAAACACTGACCCGTGTGCTCCGAATCCAATCCCTAAAAAAACATCCAAGCGCGAAAGGAACAACATCCTCATCAAAAGAAAAGCCTGACGTTCGGCCGACCACCTTCTTTCTATGTCTACGCCTGAGTAGAATATGGGCCCACCTGTTTGTCCGCTCGTTTCATGTTTGCACGCGATCTCTACATTTGCAATAGGAAAACGTCTATTTTGCCTATTCTCATAAGAGAACCTCACATGTTCGCAGGAACCTGTTGCACAGTTAAGGTTCTGATGGAGCATCTTGAGATTAAATCTCAGTTAGTAGTTTCTTTTTGCGTTGGCCTGGAGAACCACTATGTTCGCCGTTTGTCTCGCAGAAGAACCTCTTCAATCTGCATTTTCAAAGGAAACCCTCATCCCAACAAATCGAACCGGCCTACCACCTCCTAAGTTCCTTTTGCCTCCAGCAGCTGCTCCCGCTTCTTGTCAATGCACGTCAAACCCCATTCAAAGCCAGATCAAAACACAAAGCCCCCACAGCTCCTCCCCTCAAAAGGCTCGGGCATCCCATGCCGCTGGCGTCTGCTGGAACTGTGTCAGAAACGCCTCAACAACACCAGAATAACCACCCAAAAAGTGCCCACAGAATGTCCCACAGAACGCCGCGCTGGTGCGCGGGAATTGCGGGAAACATTTTAAGACTCTTCCTGACACCTTGAAAGGTTGGAGATGCTGAGGTTTTGCGGCGCAGGGTTTCACAAATCATGTGTGAAGGAGTTCCTTACACGAACAAAAGTGTTCAACGTAGTCAAGTCATTGGTTCTCTGCTCCATAATCACACCTTTTTGCAGGCAAGTGTCGTCAGCTTCCTTTTTGGTAGCCGGATCTGGCGAACTAAACAGTGCCTCACATACCAGCATGTTCTCTGCCGCTCATCCCTACCTGCATGTACGTGGAGGGATGGATCGAAATACCAACACTCCAAGCCTGCAAGGCGGACAAGGCTTGCTCCATTTCAGCAAGTATTCGATGTTAAAGTCCTGGTCAGCCTGTCCATTGATATGCTTTAATTTCTGGAAATGAAACTCAATGCGACAAATTTTACATTTCTGTCACAAGAATCACTCATCCTGGGACGCCCGCAAAACAAATGCAACTCCCGATCTTGGTGCGACGTTGTGGAAAAGGCGTCAAGTCATGTTTCCATGAAGAACTTCAACGATATCCTGGATCGCAATCAGCGCCGCTGGGAGGCTGACAGCATGCCGGGAAGGATACCACAGCTAGCGCTAAGTGCCCTTTAGAAGCTGCAGCTGGGATGGCTTGGCTTTTCTCTTTAACTTGCCTTGAACTTTTAACTGCACCGTAGTCTGCGACCACCACAGGCTCAGGGCGCTTGCTTGACTCCGATGCATGACGTGCAAGTTAGACCTTGACTTGAGCCAGGAGAAAGCCGCCGATCCGTTCCCAATTGCCTGCCGCCGCTGTGGTGCGCCGTGACACACTAATCAGCGCCAAGGGCCCACAAGCACCGCCCCGATCGTTGACACCGCACCTGCTGCTTCTTATTCCTTACGGAAGTTGCAACGAAAGTTTTGTTGGGGTGCTCAAAGGACGGCACTCCTCACAACCGGGGGTCGAACGTGCGCGCCGGCGATGGAGCATGCTCGCGAGCTACGCAGCACTTTCACTCGGAGGCCGCGAGCGCTTCCGTCATGAGGCATTTGACGGTTTGGTGCAACGGACAACCGTCCAAGCCATCATAGGAACGTCGCACTTTTCGAAGCGAAGGAGGAAGGACCATCTGATAACTCACTCATGCACACGCAAACGATCGATGTAAATCGCCAATTGGGACCCGTCCAGATTTGCTCCACACACTGCAAGCGACTGCATGACGTTCGAGCGAGGTGTCCCGCTGTTCCTGCCGGCTCAGCGCTTGTGCGCAGGCCATGGGGCCTCGCAGGCCCGATTTCGGAGACTCTCGGGCGCTGCAGCCCCAGAGCCGCCATGCCCGCGACGTGCATGCTTCGTGTCGGCGCCGGCAGCGTGGCTTGCACGACGCCGGTGCGACCAGGCCGTGACATCAGGAAGGACTTCGGACGGCGGCCGCGAATGCCGGCAAGCGACGGTGTTGGCCCCCACGATCACATCTCCCGTCAGAGCATGCTGTCAGAGAGACTTGTCTTCGACCGACCATGTGTTATGGTCAGAAAGTGAAACATAATACATGACGTAACAGGATCACCATACGCGGCGACAACAAAATACGATGCAAGAATAACAACAGCGTGCCAAAAACGAAGTTCAAAGTTCGGAAAGGTTGTCTGGTTCCTACAGCTCAGGTCACATTTCACACGCGGCAGCTGCATGGCACACACGGCCAACGAATGCAATGTTGCACTCAATGTTTCTGGCAGTGTTGACAGCCGGGTCCGTGGAAAACAATGTGTGCAACGAAAGGACGCGCCGTCCAGAGGTTTGCAGTCGCCAGCGACTGCGTGCTTGATGATGAGCAGGGCATTCTACCAATGCGTGTGCGAGGGAGTCAACACAAGATGCTCAAACGCAGCAAGGGGCATTAGAGGTGTTTCCGCGGTGACGGGCGGACCTGCCATCCGCGAAGTCATGATGGCCACACCGAGCCAGACCCCAGTAACGAACATGATGAATCTGATTGTTGCTACTATACACAATGAGGTGCAAACGCGGCACCGGCTGCCACTGGGAGTATGACTGCAAGCTATCCACGTGGTTCAAACCGGAGGCATAAGTTGCATTAGACCTACCAGTTAAAAGCAACTGGGCGTGCTTCAACCACCGCTTTACCACGCCTTGCGCACAGCCGGAGTGAACACCCCACTCAACTGGATGTGGCACACCCGCGCAACTCAAGTCACGTGCAACACATGAGACCCAAGATGAAGGGCGTTGGTCAGCAAAGTGCGCGAGCCGCCCTGCAAAACAACCCTGGGGCAAACTCGAGCCCACAAACCAGCTGCCCGGATAAGACGAATGGTTTCAGGTGAACCCCGTGGCCAACCGAGAAGCCGACGACCCCGCTGAAGTACACGAGTCTGAAATCGTGCTGTTTGCGGGCCTGCCGGAACAAACTCCAACCCGAAACAGACGGATGGGTGCACATAAGTCTGAAACATGCGTTCCACGAAGGAAAGTGGAAGGTCTGCAAACCCCGTCCAAAACAGACACGCAGCCATTTTGCGCTCGCCACGCGCAAGCAACTGGTCAATGTGCGCTTTCCAAGACAATTTGTCGTGCAAAGCAACCCCTAAATATGTGTAAGCTTTGACACGAGGCAAAAGCTGGCCACCTAAGAAGAAAACAGGTGCAGGAGCGCGTCCACGACCGCGACATCGCCAAGACATGACCCAAGCATGGGCTGCGTCAAAAAAAAAAAAAGAGCTTGCTGCAGGTCGGCAGGGTTGTCACTGAAAATTCCTATATCATCTGCATATAAAAGAAGTTTGACCACGACATTTTGACAAGAGGAACCACAAGATACCCCGTTGCACGCACGCCAAGCGGACCGTCTCTCCCCCGACCAGCGCCTCGGTTGGACCCGGCGGTCGACCGTAAGCATCGGGCTAACCCGGAATTGCGACTGGCCCGTCGCTGCCGATTGGTCGTCTTCGGCGTTGAAATTGCGGGGCGTGTCAGCCTCAGCACACGCACATTCTTGCGACTGCTCGCGTGGGCACGTGCTCAGCGGGCTGCACGGCACGCGGCGGGAGCGAGACAAGCGCTGTGCCGACGCTGGATGGCCCTCGCATCGTTCGCAGCGCTCCGGGCTGGGTGGTCGGACAAGGAGGGGAAAAATATCTAAACCCTTCCCAGCCCACGCAGCACTTCTCTGATCTCCGGCATCCCCTGCGCTGTCGTAGTGGGGCTGGACACCTAGATTTTACCGCTTGTTCACAAGCGGAACAGCGTCCGTACCAAGGATAGCGATGGACTGATGTTCTGGCCATGGATACAAGAAAGGGTTGGGCTTTTAGGCGTTCCCCGTCCCTTGCAAGGCTTTTGACTCTTCAGCATGCGAATGTCCTCCCGAGGCTGTGCGTACCCCTCGCACGTCTTATAGCCATTGCAACTTTCCGAAAAGGGTGAGAAACTCAAAGGAAATTAATCACCGCAGGGAAGCATATTCAAACTTCATCCTCATAAAATGGTATCCAATCGTGATCTCAAAAGGCTCATAAAGAAAAGTATAGTCATGCATGTTTGAGGACTCAAGCGCTCTTTTCTTCTTTGATGGCACAGCCACAAGTCGGTACAAATCCATGAGCCCACAGGGCCTCCAAGAACACGCATCAAAAGAATTTTTCAGACCCTGTGCGACTAAACTTCCCCTTCCCAAACTTGAGAGGACCGCGGGAGATGCGCTCAGTTCAATTCCAGTGTCTGATAAGCATGCTGAAAAATTCCAAAATACTCACAGTCAGAATGTTTACATCTCCATGAGCATCAAGATCACGCACACACAAACCTTTCGAAAAACGAGCTTCGAACGAAGCATTGCACGCCTATAAAGTTTTAGGAGACGAGTCTCCAAAACAGCACTGGGCTGACCAGGGTGGCATCGAGATGCGCTCCGTGCCACAAACCGAGCGCGTTGCACACGACCTTGATGCGCCTTGCGTCGCGGACAAGCCCTGAGCCTAGCGGTAGTGGGTGGCGGTAATTGGTTTTCTGTAGCGCGCGTTTCTGAACTATTATCGCGATC